GAACCATCAAAGCTCCACGCTGGCTGAGAGTCGCCAGATCCCTTGTAGCTGGTCCTAAGAAACAGTATTTTGTGTCACTCTTCCCCTATTGACTCTCTTTAGAATCAAGAGAATCTCTGCTGATTAATACTAAAAGAGAAAGGATAATTTGAGAAGCTACATTTCAAACAAGTGTCTGGTTTTGAAGAGAAGTAGGAGGTATAAACATCCCCATACAGGAAAAAAAGGGAGGGGGGGAAATTCACTTGCCCTTTTCCAAGTGGCTTGAGTTTAACAAGCTCGGTTTTAGTTAACGTGTATGCATGTTGTTGTCAAGAGTCAATGCTAACATTGTATTGAAGTGTGTTTCTGTATTTAGGAAGCCAGTGTATGGTTGTTTCAGAGTATCTTAGCTGTACTATTTATTTGGATGAGCTGCTTGAAAGTCCAAGTTCCTGTGAGGAGGCAGCAGTTGTAGCATAAAAGGTGATACAAGATGCTCTGTGAGCGAAGTACGCCTCATTGACTAAATCTGGCAGGAAATATGCAACAGCTTGCTGTAGGCAACACGTCTGAAATAAGAACACCTCTCGAGGAAGCTTTTAAAAATATACTTGTGTAAAACTTTCCTTGAGCAGCACACACAGGATACACTCAAGTTTATAGAAACATTGGCACTTGGAGGTTTTCCCTTCTCGGCATACGTGAAGGCTTTGGTTCTCGGTTTAACCATAACAGGCTTCAGCATGTCTGTACTCTTAAGAAAGTAACTTAATTCTGTAAAATACAGATAATAGTACTTTGTATTTCAGAGACTTTTTTTTTTGTATTTTTTATTTTTTGTGGGGTTTTTTTAATTTTTGTATTAGAGAGACTTTACACTTGAGAAGACTTCTATAGTGTCGTGTAATGTGCAACTCTCTATATATTTTGAGTTCCTCATTCAGGATCACAGAAGATCCAAATAAAACACCTACAAGCGTTCCTGTTTTGTGCATTGAAACTTAGAAGCTTTATTTTTATAGTCCTACTCTGTAAACTAGCAACATCTTTTCCAGTAAGAACCTATTTGTACGCCTTGTAAAATGCAGTTGTCTTACTGTATTTGGACATGCTGTGTGTGTGAAATCTAGTAGGAGTTCACGTGCATTGTCTCAACAGAATCCTTCTTGTTTCAGGATACTCACCAGCTAAAACTACTTAAGACGTTAGAAGGTCATGCGTATGGTGTCTCTTATATTGCTTGGAGTCCAGATGACAACTATCTTGTTGCCTGTGGCCCAGATGATTGTTCTGAGCTTTGGCTCTGGAATGTACAAGTAAGTGTTGACTAAGAGTAGAAAAATGTAACTGTGTTCAGCTTACTGCTTTTGTTTTAATATTTAGGTATTAAAACATATCAGATATGTTCTAATATCTAAATCTCACCTTAAGGATAAAATAAGTAGTTTCTGCAAAGTTGTTCTGCCAAGTTGTCAGTGTAAAGACGCTGATCACACCTCTCACCCCCTCACATTTAAGAATATCACTGTAGCAGCCTACAAATTCTGTACTTGGTTTGTACAGAACTGAAATTAGAGTTCAAGTCTAAGTGCCTGGTCTCTGCAGCAGTTCTGGTGTATCTGATTACTGATAACTTCTGAGAAGGGATGGCATAAATCCATGGGACTTAGAGCTACTGGAGAGAACAATGAATTAAGAGGAACAGAGCAGAATTATCATCTAAAGGGAGCAATTGCTCATGAAAGATTTCAACAAGTAGCAAAAGATGCAAGCTATTTTTACTTTGTGCAACCCTCCAGTGATGATAGTGGAAGATCCACAGAGGCATAAATGTATGATTGCAGGACTTCATCTTTCAGGCAGGCACTAGGGCATTTTGCCATTTCCTCCATGACTTCAAAAATTCTTTTCTGCTGTTGATTTATATGGGCATTTGGGTTGATATCAAAGCTTCCCCTGTGTCAGTTGCAGGCTGCATAGTCTGTCTTGTGCTGCCTTGGATTCTGAACTAATTTGTTTCCTAAAACAAAAATCTTCCCTTTTTTTCACCTTTGGAATAAATTTCTTCTGTTTGACTCAATTCTCTCAGTGAAGAGCACTAGAGCTGGCACAGGGAATAGAGAGAAGCCCTTACCGTTTTGACAATGGTAAGCTGCTCATTGGCACTCTGTCTTGTAAACAGGAGCATTATAAACTAGGGATAAAAGCTAAATTTTGGCATGGAGTGATCCAGGTCAGGAGGAAAATGTTGTAAATACTCTTTGATATGCCAGATTTTTTCCTAAAATGTATTTTGTCATCTCTGTTTTCTTGTATTCTCCTCCTGCCTCCTTGCTTTCCATGTGTGTTTGTGGTTTTTTGGGGGGTTTGGTTATTTCTGGTTTCGTTTTTCTTTCCATTTCATATTGCTTTTCTCTTAGTGTTCTTCCAGCTGCTCATAATTCTTCTCTTTACCCTCAATCTTCCAGTTTTGTGAGACACCATCTAGTCTATCCTTCTTGATTTGATGGACAAAAGAAATCGCCTCAAATCAAGTCCAGGGTCACTGGGGGTACTGAAGTAGTTCTACCTTTTCATAGCATTATTTGTGTTGCTTTTTAATATGACATGTGCACTTCCAAATGCAGTGCATGTCAGATAAAATTATCAATGTCTGTTTGGGAAAGGGTTCTGGTGTAAGACCTTGGTGTCTTTCATTACTTTCCAGACTGGGGAACTGAGGACAAAGATGAGCCAGTCTCATGAAGACAGTTTAACAAGTGTGGCCTGGAATCCTGATGGGAAGCGTTTTGTAACGGGAGGTCAGCGTGGGCAGTTCTATCAGTGTGTAAGTTCTCTGCATCTGTCCCATTGAAAACAAAACAAGAAATGATAGTTTTGCCACAGACAGATCTGAGATTCACATCTTTCCATTTCTTTTTCTGTGTGTGTGTACACTAAAACTTTTGATCCTTTAATTCAGGGAAGCAATACATTATTGCTAGCATTTCAACAGCACTTCTGTATGCAGCAGTTAGAAGGGTTCAGGCTCCTTTTGTCTGCTTAAAGGAGGATTTGTGGGCTAGGAGGGGGTTTTTTAGCTGCTCTAAAAAATACGCTAATAAAAAGTAGCGTCTTCATCCACAAATGTTGCTTATTCTACAGAATTTTGAGTGTCTTCCTCAGTTTTTGCATGCTGTTTTGCTAAGTGTAAACAGAAATTTGAAACCCTCATTACTGACTAGTGTTGATTTCTGGGAGGTGATCCACCATCACCTGAACTGGTGTCCAAAATAATAGTGCAGTATGCAAACCTCACTCACTGCAAGGGTGAGCTCTGTGATGATACAGATTGCATGTGCCATGTATGAGAAAGTTAAGTGACAAAAGGGATTCTCAGCTCTCCAGGACAGACACCTACAAAAGCCCTCAGTTAAGACAGCCAGGTCCTAATTCACTAAGTCCCCCTTTCTGTAGCAATTGTCTCAACAGGAAATGAGAGAAATACTTGTGTGTCAGCTCCTCAGAAATCAGAGACTAACAGTGCAAACTTTGTGGTTTCTTTCCCCCCTCTTCTGATCAGGATTTAGATGGTAATCTCCTTGACTCCTGGGAAGGGGTGAGAGTGCAATGCCTTTGGTGCTTGAGTGATGGGAAGACTGTTCTAGCATCGGACACACACCAGCGAATTCGGGGTTATAACTTTGAGGATCTTACAGACAGGAACATGTAACTACCTCTTTCTTTGGTTTTGAATTCCTGATTCTTAGTGTTAGAAGAAAATGATTGAGGAAGGGTTTGGTGGGGGCGGAAGGGTGGGAAATATGCTATTAAAATGCTCTCACTATTACAAGACAACAAGAATAACATGGTACAAGAGATGAGTTCCAGTTGCAGCAAGAAGCATTAGATCAGGTAATAGAAATAACTTCCTAAGCACTGGAGTAGGTTTTTAGTGGATGTTTTGATGTTTCTGTCATCAAGAATTGTCATTTCGGTTCCTGATGTATTTTAGTAGATCCTGTCTTGAAGTTAAGAGTTGAACTTGAGTTCTAAAGATCTTGTTGGTCTTGGGTTTTGTCATAAGTATAAGCAAACTATTGCAGACTGGGTTGTACTGACATGCAGAGACATAGCTAGTTTCAGATTCGGAGCTCCTTCCCTGATAATATAGTAGAGACAGGATATGCCTTTTGTCTTGGTGTTGTATCGTTATTTAAGTGTTCTCTTAACACTGTGTCTTCTAATTTCAGAGTACAAGAAGATCACCCTATTATGTCATTTACTATTTCAAAAAACGGCCGTTTAGCTTTGTTAAATGTAGCAACTCAGGTGAGTTGATGATAAATGGAAGTGCAAATACATCTGCTTGCAACTGCTACTTGGTTTTAAATATTGTGGTGTGAATTGAAATGTTTTATATTAATCAGTTGTATTTTATATGTCATATGAAGGCCTTTATATTCATAAGCACAGCATGGCATTTTATGACAAGAAGGCGATCTTATTCTTGAGATTTATTTTTTGTCTAATTTACAGTCAACAGTTCCCTGCTATGAAATATGTACTATTAAATGTCAATATCTGGCTATAGCACTGAGAAGCCCAGGTACAGCAAGAATTGTTTCAGGTTGACATGGCTGGGGATGTGAGAATTGGATGTTACTTATTTCCACTTTTGGAATCTTGCGTAAGAATAGGAGCTTTCAGAACAGAAAGGACCACAGACTGGAATTCTGATCTAGTGATGTGGTGTGTCTTTACCCTCTTGATCTAGTAACAGTTGGCTAAAGGAATGTACTACTACCATGTTCAATTTTCTCTAGTTTTTCAAAAGGATGCAATGAATAATGTTGAATGACGAAATAACATTCTTCATACTTCTTATTCCCAGGGAGTTCACTTATGGGACTTACAAGACAGAGTTTTAGTGAGAAAGTATCAAGGTGTTACACAAGGATTTTACACAATTCACTCGTGTTTTGGTGGTCATAATGAAGATTTCATCGCGAGTGGCAGTGAAGGTAACATCATTGGAACATTGTATCCTTCCTGTACCTCACTTTTATAACTATGATGATGGTAGCAACTGTCACGAAAGCAAGCAAACTGGTTCTTTAAATAAGTTTCAGGAGCCCTGGGATTGTGGCATACTTCAAGAAATAATTGTGTGCTAGCAGAATCTTCTGAGAGGATGGTAGCAGTAGAAAGCATTAATGATTCTTGTGTTGTTCCTCTGAAGCAAAGCATCTGCACAGTTCTAATTAGAAGTAGGTGGGGTGTTCTTGAGGCTTTTTGTTTTTGTGGTATTATGCTTAAGCCTATGGTTTGGATCAAAAATACTTCTGGCGAGTAACAGCTTCACTTGTATGTTGAAGATATAGGTGTGGTGAGGTTATTTTAATTTCAGTAGAGTCATTCTCTTAATTATGGACAGAGTAGTCTCAAATTAAGCAGTTGTTGACATAGTCTGGTAGGGTTTCTTGGCAATCAAATGCTTTGTGGTTTGTTTTTATTCAACTGTCTGTGGTAAGAACAGAAATCAGTAATGGTTTATATCTGGAATTGGTTCAGTTCTGTCACTGATGTAGTGCCATCACTGCCCATGGAGGTCACTTAAGATTCAAGCTATGGCGGGGCTAAAAATTACACTTGAAGTATGTAAACAGTCACTGTTAGTACTGTGTAACTCAAAACTGTGAGGAAATAAGGTTGGCCAGGGTACTTACTTGATATTTTCCAGGAAAGGATAGCAGTATGTCTAAAATAAACCCATATTTCACTCTTTGGCCTGACATAGTGGAATATGACTGAAGGACAGCACCTCCAGTCCAGCGTGAACTGCTTTTCATGGTGGACCAAGGTTAAAGATCCAAAAGTTCAGGATTTCTGTTGAGCTATACAGATGTGCATGTGTAGATGTAAATACTACAGTGCACCAGTCCTTTTTGTCCCTCCTTTATTTGTTCTTTTTTATCTTCATTGTCTAAAATGTACTGAGCAGTAGTTGAAATTGATGACGTTCTCGATTTGAACTGAATTGTTGCAAACGTGGCTTCTGAGAACATAGATCTACTAATAAACAAGGAAGCAAAACAGAAATAAGATTCCGTTGTCATAGCCTTGTTACCATAGCTTGCTAAAAAAAGGTTATAGATTGGTTATACTATCTTAACCTTTTCAGGTATGTTGCCAGCTGCGTCCTTTTTTTCTAACACTTGCATCAATAGGAAGAAAATGGAGGCCTCTTACTGAGAGGGGAATTGCTGCCTTAATCTAGTGAACTTGTTTTTCCAAAACAAAATACAGGCATTGTGACAAGTACCAAACTACTGTTTAGGCTTTGATTCTCCCAGACAGCAGATTCTTATGTGTCTAGTGTGTAAGTTGTTTGATGAATAGTGTGGATATGGAGTCTCTTGAAATTGTAAATGGAATGTAAACTCAGCCAGAACGTTTGCATCAGTACTATATATATATATATATAAAGGTGGTATACTCAAATGAGCTGATTCAGTGAAAGCAAATGAGTTACCACAGGGTTCCATGATGCTATTCTAGCAGGTAGGCTACAGAGCAAGTTTGTTTTGTAAGGGGTTGGGAGGAGGAGGAATAGGTGAAGACTGGCTTGTTTGCAAAGCCTTCAGAATGACACCTACATTATAACCTTTCAAACAGCTGAAAATACTTCCATGTTGTATCCCAGACCTAAATACAAGGCTTTTGTGTAACACCAGTAACACATACTTCGTTTGGTTTGTGTAGATCTGTTGGGAGTATTCCAAAGACGTTCCTAGAGAGGTCAACCCGCAGGCTGCTAGTTGCGGTGGGGGGGTGACAACAGGCAACCAAACCACTTTAACCATTTATTCTGAAATATGGTTGATGATAAAGCAGTAACGCTTCTTTAAAAACTGCAGTGCAGTGTCTGACCCAGGTCAGTGTTCTATTCCTAGCATATTGCTAGGAGTAATTAAAAGCTTCCTATCACAAAGTAAGATCTGTAGCATTGCTTACTGCATCTACTTCAATATATATAAATTCATATCTTAAAATACTACACAAGAATTGTTTCCAAGTACAGTAATAGGTCACAATTTGAGACATTAGGCTTTGTTGCCCTCCCTCACTTGCTCTATTTGCGCTTTCACTGAAATGTTTCAGGTTTTTAGTATCAAGATGTATTTTGTAAGCTATAGAGCTGTGATCTTATCTAGTGCTCATCCACAGGTGGTGGTTGTCATAAATATTCTGCCTTAATACTCATGACTTTATAATGCACATACTGATATGTAAATATGGGGGGGGGAAGAAAAAACTGTATGCAAGACATCCTTTTGAGGAAGGTTACAACTCTGTAGCTTTAGTTTGAGTAGCTTGATTTTTCTCTTTAGACATATAATGACACATTTGCATTGTAGTGAAGTGGTTTTCAACTACCAAGTGCAGTAGACTTGCAGGTGTTAAAAGGGAACATGCCTCTTAGTGGGAGAGCTTCACCCCGTGTTCTTGTGGTCACTCTTAGAAGGAAAATTGTTAGTGCCATTGCACATTGAAAATACATGGGGTTTACAACATCAATGCGTTTTCTAGTTGTTGAGAGCTTGTGTGGAAGTGCTGTTTGATACGACAGATTGGTCATTGCAGGACAATGTTTCTCATTCTGTTTTCTTCTTTAAATGTGTGTTTTATTTAGATCACAAAGTATATATTTGGCACAAGCGTAGCGAGCTGCCCATTGCGGAGCTGACAGGGCACACGCGTACTGTTAACTGTGTGAGCTGGAACCCGCAGATTCCATCCATGATGGCCAGCGCCTCTGATGATGGCACTGTTAGAATATGGGGACCAGCGCCTTTTGTAGACAACCAGGATATTGAAGGTAAAAGAACTCTGTGTGTGTTCTCTAATTACTAAATCATCAAATCATAGAATGACTTGGGGTTGGAAGGGACCTTAAAGCTCATCCAGTTCCAACCCCTGCCCTCAAAGCTTACATCAAAGGTAGGTGCTTCTGTGGGTTTTCTTTATCATAAATAGGATAGAAAAGTGCTTTTAATCCTTGGGTTTGAATCATAACTTTTACTAAAAAAAACTAACTCTTTTGGGTTGGGGTTTTTTTTGGTTTGTTTTTTTTTTTTAACATATGGCTGTTGATTTTTATCCAAGTTAGTTATTTTTGTATTATAAAAAGGAAACAACTGATACTTCCAAAATGATACTGAAATTTCTGACATGTCCCTATAGAAAACTGTGGTGTCACTAAGAGCTCAGGATTATATTAATTTATTTATGTAGACTTCTTAAAAAAATTATGCCTCCAATGCTTGAGGTTTAATAATACACAGTGTTAGTAAATTTTAAGTAATGCATTTTGATCACACTGCAGATGAAATAATGGTATTAGAGTACTTATGAAACAAAGCTCCAAAGTCTGGAGAGAGCAAAGCTTTTCCCACCATAAAATTCTGTACACAATTAATTCTTTCTTTCCTAACCATCAGCAATCATCTGCGTTCTGGAGGGAGACGCAATGCAACTCTTTTCACTGCTAAAATGCACCCTTGCTCCCAACCCTTCTTACCTCCCCCCAGAATTGTTTGACCACTGGGGGCTTGCTCTGCAGTTTATATGCTTCTGTCATCACATATTCACTCTTGTGCTAAAAATTTACACTAGACATGAAAATAAAATACAGTGTATCCCATTGCCACAAGGCATCGTGGATACTAGGTATGGACACGAGTTCAAGGGGAACCTAGGCAAAGTAACCGTGAAGACATCCCTTGAGTCCTGTTAGATAAGTAACACCTCTAGTTCAGAATGTCACTTCAGTGAAAATGGCTGGAAGTTGGAAGGATATTAGGAGGAAGAATTACCTCCGCTCCCTGCTCCTGTGCTGACAGTAGGTGGACCAGCCTGGCCAATCTGCTGTTTGTAAGGAATGCGTCCATAAGGAGCCAGAGCCTATCCTCCAGTTGGTTTTACTCTTACTTTTGTTTAGTTGATTTTCACCAGTTAGCTGCTTGCTCCCTCTTTCTTAGTTCCTCCAGAAAAAGAAGCTCATAAATGCCTTAAAAACCAAAACTACAGAAAACAGATTTCTTGCAGTAGTGCTTCTGCAAGAGGTGTAGGTGTACAGAATATACCTAACAACTTAGGCATCCTAAATGGATGACAGAGGGCTTTGTTACTAGCACACTCCCCTGGAGCTTTAATGTAAATATGCATTACTTTTTGGAAGAGGTGATTGTTTCGTACCAACACCTAATATGCTAAATTAATATGTAAATTAATATGTAAATTAATGAGTAATGATACCTAAAATAAGTACTTTTTAGCATGGGATTTAGCTATGAGATCTGTAACTGATGCATGTTCAGTAAAACTTGTGTATATAGACTATATTTATGACCTTACAGAAGTCTTAACTATTGATAAGCTCTTGAAGATGTGATTTCTTTCTCTTTATGTTTTTGTTTTTGCTCAGAGGAATGCAGTAGCATGGATAGTTGATGGCGAATTTGGAGCAGACGACTTCAGTTTAACTTAATTAGTCGTATTTTAAATGGCTTGGGATTTGGTGCAAACAAACATGATTGATAGCTGGACAGACATGCTCGTCATGAAAAAGAACCATTTCTGAAGCCCGGTTGGGGCCAAACATTTACCACCTTGCTTCATAGTAACCAGTCGAGATGAAGCACGTCCTTAGAACGTTGTCGGACACCGTGTTGAAATTACCCCCCCATCGGTTGTGAAGAACTGTGCTACATTCAGGCTAACCATTGAACTCAGTATATATATTTTTCCCTCCTGCCTTTTTGTCTGGCAGGCTACTGTTCTTGTTGCTCTTCTGTGTAATGAAGTTTAAATGCTTGTTTGGAACACTTTATTTAACAGTTTAGAAGGCTTGATAGAAAGAGTGCTTTAGTCTGAAGAGTATACATTGGATAGGAAAGTATTTCCTTCTCTTGTTTCTCAAGTCTCTCTCCGCCTTACTTAGCTTGAGATCTTTGCAGCTTGGTTCATGGATTCTAGCCTTGCCCGTTGCGCAGTATATTATAAATTGAGATGATAAACCAATGAACTATGTCAAAAGCACTCTCAGTATCACATTTGACAAAAAGTTTTGTACTTTTCACATAGCTCGTTGCCCTGCAAAGGGGTTAACAGCACAATTTTTTAAAAATAAATTATTTATAGGATTAAAACGACTTCATTTGTATACATTTGGAATTAAAAAACAATGCAAGAAGTGTCGTGAAACACGGTATCACTGATGCTTTTCCAGCGTGTCTTGAGACCCAATCAAAAGCAGTGGCTGGAAGGAGCTTTGCATAGGCAGCGAAGCTTGTTTTCGATAGAGGAACTCGCTGGCCAGCTTAACAGAGAAACTGTGTTATGTAGGAAAAGAAAAGGTGTTCAGAGTGCACCACCAGGCTTAAGAGTTTGAACAAGACAAGGTCTTTTTGGATTCTTTTAATGACATAAATATGTGCAACAGCGCTGGTGTAAAAGGTAGACTACACCTTGAGGGAAGAATGTGTTGGAAGAGTCCTTTCATCACAAAGTCAATGCTTTGTAAAAAGTAATTAACATACAAATCATAATTAAACACTTGTATTACGATGGCAGTTTTTCCTTCTTTGGTAAACAAAGGTGTAGAGATTTTCTTTTTGAGAACATACTCTTTAAGTTTCCAGATTGAAATGCCTCTTCCAGACCTTGTTGCAAACTGGTGCTTTGAACATCTTGACACATCTAGGAGTAGCTCTACTAATAGCCTATGTTAAGAAGGGAGAAAGTCATTTATGATTTGAGTACTTATTCTTTCAGACATAGATGGCCTGGCATCACTGCTTCTGCATACACACAAGTTCATTATGGGATGGCACTGGATTCCCTTTTGCCACCTTGGGTGGAAAAGTAGTGTTGGTACTGCTGTGAAGTGAAGAGGGAGTAGGGAAGGGCACACCACCGGGAGCTGGTGTGAACAGAAGTGTGGACTTCATCCTTTAATGAAAGAATAATCTCGTGTCCTTATTAGTCATGTGTGGAAGAAGGGTGGG